AACCGATACCACAGAAATACAAAGGATTATAAGAGAATACTATGAAAAACTATATGCCAACAAATTGCACAATCTAGAAGAAATGGATAAATTCTTAGACTCATACAACCTCTCAAAACTGAATCAAGAAGAAATAGAGAATCTGAATAGACCAATCACAAGTAAAGAGATTAAAACAGTAATCAAAAACCTCCCCAAAAATAAAAGGCCAGGACCAGATGGCTTCTCTGGAGAATTTTACCAAACATTCAAAGAAGATTTAATACCTATCCTTCTCCAGCTATTCCCAAAAATAGAGGAAGATGGAACGTTTCCTAACACATTCTACAAGGCCAACATCACCCCAATACCAAGGCCAGACAAGGACAATACAAAGAAGGAAAATTACAGGCTAATATCGCTGATGAACAGAGATGCAAAAATCCTCAACAAAATATTGGCAAACCGAATACAGCAATACATTAAAAAGATCATACACCATGATCAAGTGAGATTTATACCAGGGACACAGATGGTTCAACATCCGTAGATCAATCAGTGTGATACGCCACATTAACATAACGAGGAACAAAAACCACGTGATCATCTCAATAGATGCAGAGAAGGCATTTGAGAAGATACAACACCCATTTTTGATAAAAACTCTCAACAAAATGGGTATAGAACGAAAGTACCTCAACATAATAAATCCATATATGATAAACCCATAGCCAAAATTATACTCAACAGGGAAAAACTGAAAGCCGTTCCTCTGAGAACAGGAACAAGGGTGCCGACTCTTGCCACTCTTATTCAACTTAGTACTGGAGGTTCTGGCCAGAGCAATTAGGCAAGAAAAAGGAATAAAAGGAATCCAAATAGGAAATGAAGAAGTGAAACTCTGGCTGTTTGCAGATGACATGATTTTATATATAGAAAACCCTAAAGAATCCATTGGAAAACTATTAGAAATAATCAACAACTACAGCCAAGTTGCAGGGTACAAAATCAACTTACAAAAATCAGTTGCATTTCTACACTCTAATAATGAACTAACAGAAAGAGAACTCAAGAACACAATTCCATTTATAACTGCAACAAAAAGAATAAAATATCTAGGAATAAATTTAACCAAGGAGGTGAAAGACCTATACAATGAAAACTATAAGACATTATTGAAAGAAATCAGTGGTGACATAAAGAATGCAAAGATACTGCAGGCACATGGATTGGAAGAATAAACATAGTTAAAATGTCCATACTACCTAAGGCAATCTACAGATTCAATGCAGTCCCAATCAGAATCCCAATGACATTCTTCATGGAAATACAACAAAGAATCCTAAAATTCATATGGGGAAACAAAAGATCCCAAATAGCTAAAGCCATCTTGAGGAAAAAAAAAAACAAAGCTGGAGACATCACAATCCCTGACTTCAAAATATACTACAAAGCTATAATAATCAAAACAACATGGTATTGGTACAAAAACAGACATACAGATCACTGGAACAGAATTGAAAGCCCAGAAATAAAACCATACATATACTGACAACTAATCCTTGACAAAGGAGCTAAGAACATACGATGGAGAAGGAAAGTTCAAGAAATGGTGCTGAGAAAACTGGACAGCCACATGCAAAAGAATGAAAGTAGACCATTATCTTTTGCCATACACAAAAATTAACTCAAAATGGATCAAACACTTGAAAGTAAGACCTGAAACTATAAAACTCCTGGAAGAAGACATAGGCAGTATACTCTTTGACACTGGTCATAAAGGGATCTTCTTGAATTCCATGTCTACTCAGACAAGCGAAACACAAGAGAAAAGAAACAAGTGAGACTTCATCAGACTAAAGAGCTTCTGCAAGGCAAATGAAACCAGGATCAAAATGAATACACAACCCACCAGCTGGGAGAAGATATGTGCAAATCATATATCCGACAAGCAGTTAATCTCCATAATTTATTTTAAAGAACTCACACAACTGAACAACAAAAAAACAAACAATCCAATCAGAAAGTGGGCAGAGGATATGAACAGACATTTTTCCAAAGAAGATATACAGATGGCCAATAGGCACATGAAAAGATGTTCAACATCAATAATCACCAGGGAACTGCAAATCAAAACAATACTAAGATATCACCTCACACCCGTTAGAATGGCTATAATCACCAAGGCAAAAAATAACAAATGCTGGAGAGGTTGTGGAGAAAAGGGAACCCTCATTCACTGCTGGTAGGAATGCAAACTGGTGCAGCCTCTATGGAAAACAGTATGGGGATTCCTCAAAAAATTAAAAATAGAAATACCTTATGATCCAGCTATCCCACTACTGGGTATTTAACCAAACTTGAAATCAACAATCCAAAGATGCTTACACACCCCTATGTTCATTGCAGCAAATTTACTATAGTCAAGAAGTGGAAGCAACCCAAGTGCCCATTGACAGATGACTGGATAAAGAAGATGTGGTATATATATACAATGGAATACTACTCAGCCATAAAAAAGACAAAATTGTCCCATTTGCAACAATATGGATGGAACTGGAGGGTACTATGTTAAGTGAAATAAGCCAGACAGAGACAGACAAACACCACATGACTTCACTCATATGTGGAATATAAACTAACACATTTGACAGAGAGAACAGTCTGGTGGTTACCAGAAGGAAGGGGGTTGGAGGTGGGCACAAGGGGTGAAGGGGCGCATTTATATGGTGACTGAAAAATAATAATGTACACCTGAAATCTCACAACGTTATAAACTATTATGACATCAATAAAAACAAATTCACACACACACACAAAAAATACAAAAGTTTATGGACAAAGGTGTTCCTTACTGCTTTAATACTGAAAAAACGGTGAGCAAATTAAAATTAAACAAACAGAAAATGATTTACACAATTTATGACACATTCATTCATACAATGGAAGGTTACATAGCCATTAATTTTTTTTTAGTATGAAATTTTGGAAAAGACAAAAATACAAAAACCAATATTAAGTTCGAGAATATGAAATCAGTTTTTCGGAGGTCAAAACGGTCCAATAATGGACATCCACACTTTCATCATGCAGAATTAGCTGTTAACACTCACCATTAAAATAAAAATGTTTCTGCTAGAACAATAAGTAAAGAAGACAAGATAAAAATCCTATCACATATATAAAATCTGTATTTTTTTTTTGTGAGGAAGATTGGCCCTGGGCTAACACCCCTGCCCATCTTCTACTTTATATGGGACGCCACCACAGCATGGCTTGACAAGTGATGTGTCGGTGAGTGCCCGGGGTCCAAACCTGCGAACCCCGGGGCCACCGCAGCGGAGCGCGCGCACTTAACCGCTGTGCCACTGGGCAGCCCCAGAAATCTGTATATTTTAATGCATAGAAAAAAGGCTGGAAGGAACAAAACCAAGACGTTAACAGTGGTTAACTGAGTGAGGAGATTATGAGGGATGGTGGTTCTTCTTTGCACATTGATATACTTTCCCTCTGACCTATGATGAGCATGTGGTTGGGTTAAAAGGCAAAATCCAGAGGTAAACCTAAAGCAAAAGAACAGAAAGACTGACAGAGACCATCTTTATACGTTATACTGATATAAAGTATAATCTACTAAGAAGACAAAACAAGCACAAATCTATCTGAAATTAAAAACAAGGATAAACTCACAAATCCACAATCGTTACAAGAGTGTTCACAATCTATCTCGGTAGACAGCAGGTTAAGTGTGCAAAACACAGGTAAGAATACAGAGGAGCTGAACAAGTCGTAATCAGTAAAATTCATCTAAAAGCTACAGAGAATTTTGTGCCCATTAAACAGTTTTCCAAAAATACGTGGAGCATTACCAAAAGCCACCAGACCACACAGAAAGCTAAATGAATTTGCAAAGGCAGAAGTCACCCAAGTCACCACACATTGTGGTCAGAGAACAGGGGTAAAAAGACAACACAAGAAACAAAATCACGACAGTGGAAATCACTGGTCTGAAATGAGCCACAACGAGAAAACCAGGCGTCCATCCCCACGATCTTCACCCGCAGCCCAGGCTCTCCTCCTCCCAACACCTAACAAACGGATTAAAGTAACAGTAAAAGTGGGTCCCCAAAAGAGGTCACCAGCAGCTACCACAGAAAGGGATGCCACTGTCCCATCACCCCTAGAAACTGTGCTGGAGACTCCAGAGAATTCTACCCCATCAAAGGAGTGACCTCACCATGCAGCCTCACCTTTTCCCTTGTTGAACTGGGTGGGGAAAGAGAGGGCACAGAACTGGCTGCAGGGACAGATGAGTAAATGGGAGATGAGAACGCCCAGGGCTGACTCGCTGACAGAGGTGGAGGCTCCGGGCTCCAGGAGGAGGTGAAGACCCCTTGGTGCAGGACAGTCGACAAAATCTCAGAAGCCAGGGGGGCACCCAGGTGCCCGGACAATGACCGGACAGGGCACGGGCTGGAGCCTGCCTGGGCAGCGCCCGCTCCCCGCACTCTCGAGTTACCCAGCAGCAGAGAGAGTGCCGCGAGCACTGCTGTTGTTTGCTGAGCTGTCACCTTCAGGGAGCAGGGGCTGTCACAGCTGGAGCCAGCAGTCCAGGGGAACATGCAGTCTGAAGTCAGACTGTCTGGGTTTGAATCCCAGTTGCACAACTTATTGGCTGTGTGACCCTAGGTTAGTTACTTAGCCTCTCTAGGACTCAGTTTTCCCATCTGTAAAATGGGTGTCATGAGGAATAAAAGAGCTAACTTAAGTAAAGGGCTTAGAAGAATCTGGCATGTAGCAGGATCCTTCCATTAAGAGTCAGCTTGAGTTAATTTTACCCCTGACTTTGACCCAAGCAGCTGCCTCCCTAGGCTGGCCACAGTGAGAAGGAAGAAGAGCATCAGGATGGTGCCCTAAAAGCCATCTGAAGCACAAGCTAGACTCCATCCTGCTCCTCCAGGGGAACTCTTCAATGCCAGCCTCTCCCTGCACTGGGGGGTGACGATACACCTACTTACTTAGGGTGCTGTAGTCGGTCATGCTGAAGTTCCACATCTTGGTGGCAGGATCTGCAATGAAACAGAAGTACTTGTTTGCCCACAACGAGGCTGATGACTGTTGTTATCACTCGTATGTGGACACTCAGTAGAAGCGTGCGGAATGCATGAACGCACGCTAAGTTCAGAGCAGTGGACTGACAAGCCCCTACTGATTCACAAAGTCCCTGTAGAGGCCAGGTAGCAAACACTCACGAGGATAATGCCTTTATTCCACACAGAGGAATTCAGGTCAGGCCTGGGACATCATGGCCTCCCTGTAAGGGGGCTGAGGACAGAGGTGGGATTGGAACCCAAGTTCTCTGCGACCCAGCGTAGTCAGGCAAAGTGGTACGAGAAGGAGTGTGGGCCCCGAGGCCTGGCAGAGCTGGCCACATCCCGGGCCCCCCCTTCCAGACAAACCGACCTGAGCACGTTACTTGCTGAGCCGGCTCCATCGCCTTTAAAACAGAAATAACGTCTACTTATCTCAAAAACCATTGTTAGGCTTAAGTGCTACAACGCACACAAGGCAACTGCAGGAGAGCGGGCCTCACAGTAAACATCCATCCACTCTCCCTGCGGCCGGGCGGGAGATCCCCACGTGGCAGCTGTTTGAAGGACTATCCATTACAAAAGGAGCTAAGACAAAGAACTTGTAACAATGGGATGGACAGAATGTGCCAGTGCACTCTCTTCATAATTATGAGAAACTCTTAGATTAAAAGAGACTCCAGAAATAGACCAAAACCTCTGAAGAACTAGACTGGAGACTCATTACCGTAACGTCTGCTGGGCAAACTCTTAAACACTGCGATGAGCTCCGCGTTGTATCCCATCTTCACGTGGAAACGATCCCCATGCCTCACGCACACGCCGTTCTGGGAGCTTCCTGCTTTCTGGAGCGAGGCCCCTAGCTTCTGCAGGAGTCCTCCATCTGTCCTGGGTGTCCCACTCCCTGAGCCACAGTGGACATCAGAAATGTTCTGCCCCGAGGTGGACGGTCTCACCATCTTGGCCTCTAATTCAGGATCCCCAGGAGGCTGTCCAGAGGGAGCTGGTGTCTTCTGGAAACTCTTTGCTTTGGACAAAGGTTCATGAGTTGTGTTAGCAAAAGGTGTCAATCTGGTCTCCTGTGAAGACTGGGAATGACCTTGACCTAACTCATAACCCAAGAGCTGCTGGCTGGGGACCTGTGGAGGACTTTGTGCCAAGGGAGGAGAGACCCCAGTGACAGGCATTTGACTTGGGGGGCTGTGACTTGGGCAGGCTGTGGGCATCTCTCCTTGCCTCCTCCATGTCCCCTTTGCCTGCTCTGGAGTGCTGAGAGGAAAACTGTGGGAATTATGAGGTCTTCGGTCACCATTAGACGAACTACTGGGATTCTGCTGCTTGAAAATGACACCATGGCTCCCTGGCTTAGAAGGATCCCTGAGGAGATGCTGGGAAGGGCCCTGCTTGGACTGGGAAGGCGTGGCAGCAGCGGAAGGGCACAAGCCTGCGCTCTGATGCTGTTCTGCTAATAATTTCTCAGCTCTACGGGCCAGAGCCCTCTGTCGATTCTCTTCGATTTTTTTCCTCTGCTCCTCTGTCAGAGGCAAGGACATTTTAACAGAGAAATCCTCATGCAGGAATGTCAGTCTTTAATTGGAAACTTGGCAAAAGCTGAGGAAGGAAAAAAATATTGAAATTAACATTAAATGTATTTATTTGCCATTCTCCTACCTTGATTTTAACAAGCTTTTGTCCCAGGAAATGCACAAGAGCACAATCAAAGGATATACTAAAGTTTCTTTTATAATTAAGCACATACACACAGGGTAGAAGGTAGCATATGCTAAAAACAATGACCCCGACCAAAAAAGCAAAAAGCAAGGTCAGATCAACTCCAAAGCCGAACAGGGATTTCAGCTGCAATGTTTTTCCCCCTCTCATCCCCCAGCCACCCTGAGTTATCAGATCCCGAGGAAGTTTTGCAGTGCAACCTAAATCCATTAGATAACGAGAAGGGTGACCTTTCAAACTAGACAGGATAATGGATTAGACTGACATAGACCAAAACAACCACATACCATGGCGCGACACTTGCTAAAATAACCTCTTTCCCACCTGGAAGAGAGAAAAAAGCATTAGCCTCACATAGACTGCGCGCTAAAATTCACCCCTCGGATTCAATCCTCTTATCTTTCCGGCAAATCAGTCCACAAGTGGTCAGCTTCGAGCCACAGAGCAGCTGGGCTTAGAGCCTGCCTTCCAAAACACACCACCACAGAGCAACCGAGTGACTCTTTTTGAAAAATAAGGGGAAAAAAAGGTAATATATGCTCATTGTACAAATTCATATGCTACATAAAAATGTAAAGAAAAGAGAAAATTAATCAGTAATCCCACCATCCATCAACAACCACTATTCACAGTTTGGAGCACAGTATAATTCTGATTTTTTTCTATCCTTAGACACATGTTACATATTTGGAAGACAGAGATATTTATTACAAAACAGGATCAGTACATACATTCTGTTTTGTATCCCGATTTTTTTTTTTTTCCAACTAATTTACTCAGGTCATTCTTCTATGAGCTGCGCCACTTTTGCAATATTCTAGACCCAGGGAGCTGCACACCAATTTCTCTGGCTGGGTTCAGATTACATAGCCTCCACCCAACGTAACACCACGTAAGGCTTATAACGATGACGTGACGTAGCGGGTACTCCAGCAGGACTGTTTAGCCCTGTGAGAAGAGCCCGAGGGTTCACAGGTTGCCTTCCTGCTGGGACTCCCTGTGGCCAGAATCCCAAACACCATCTATCCCCAGAGACCTTCCACCTCCTGCAACCACCAGCAGTGAAGGAGGGGTTAGGGAAAGGCTTTGTTCCCGGGGCACGGCTGAAGCTCTCAGGCTCCCCGGGTAACACCCTCCTGCCGAACTTCCCAGCCAGGGATCTCCTGCACCCCAAACTCTGCAGGTCCAAGGCCTGCTGCGCCAACCGCTCCACTAGCCAGGGAAGGCGAGGCCGTGGGAGGAAGTCCCACTGATCAGCCCCAAACCATGAAGCCATCCCACCACGTGGACGCCCCTCTTCTCTTTGCTGAGATTTCTGTTCCACTCCACTTAGGGAGCGCTCCTCACCCCGGCCCCGGAGGAAGGGAACGCCACGCCCCGCTCTCACCCCTATTATCTCCACTTGGATTCACCCTCGCCTCGGTCTCATCCGCCTCCGCCGCCTTCCTTCCAGTTTACCTTCTCGCCGGGTGAGGCCTAGGACGCGAGCCACATTTCCAGCCGACCCCGAACCCAGGCGCGTCTCCAGAGCCCTCTCGAGCCGATGACTCTTCCGGGTGGGCGGTGAGAAGCGGCTATTCGAGCGTGGCCAGTTCGCCCGCCTTATTGTAGTGCCCAGGCCTGGAGGATGGGGGTGGGAGGAAGGCTCGGTCACCGAGGAACTACATCTCCCAGCGGGCAACGCGGCCGCAGGTACGCTTCAAAAAGTGGGAGTGATGAGTCGGCAAACCAAGCGGCGCTGCAGCGTCTTCTGGGATTTGTAGTTTGGGTCTGGCGAGAGCCTGGAGAGAATTAGGAGAGGCGCAACGTCGTGGGCGGGGCGAGAGTGGTGCACCCTGGGAATTGTAGTCCTCAGTTCCCCCAAAGGTTTAGCCAAGCGCCGGATCATGAGAGCCTGGGACGTTGAAGTTTCCAAAACGGGAGTCTCGATGTCTGAGCTGTCTCAGAGGGCTGTCAGAGTCGTCTCCAGGGGGTATCCCAGGCGGCCGGACTGATTTGGTGGCGTGTAATAAAAAGTATCCGCTGAGACATCCATTCCTGGTATTGGTAACTTTGCACTTTAAGCCCCACCTGCTGTCTCAAACTCGACTAGACCTTCAACGGACAAAGGAGAATCAGCGTTGTCCTTGTCGTCATTGTCCTTGCCGTCATCATCGTCGTCATCATCACTGTCATCTTGCTGAACATTTAATTGAATTATCTCATTTAATCCTCGCTACAACCTTATTATACATATCCCCATTTTACAGATGGGAAAACTGAGAGTTATTCAATAACTTTTTCAAGGCCTTGTTAGGCTCTTTGTGATTCTGATTCTGAAGCCCCGGCTCTTGAGAGAAAATTAGTAAGCTGACACTATCAGAGTCAGTTTACCCCATTTCTGAGCACCGAGCACCTTTTCCCTTCCACAATCAACTCCACTATTAGATACTGGTGGTAAAAATAATATTCCCCCATCATCAGTGTACACGTGATGTTGCTATTTTGTTTTCAAACATGGCTCATTTCAAAACAAAGAGATAGATCTCTACTTAAGGGTTTAGAAAAATGGCCAGGACATATCGTTAAGAAAAACAAAGCACAGCAATGTGTACGTAGTAGTTTGATCCATTAAAAAAAAAAAAATCTTTACCTATAAATGCATGTAAACTCACAGAAAAAGTTCTGGGAAGGAAACAAAAACTCACCAAACTCTTCAGGAGCATGCTACAGTGGGATAAACTCTTCTGCTTTTTAATCTATGTTTTCCTGAATTATTTGAATTTTCTTATAATAATCACATAGAACTTGTGTGACTTGTGAAACAGTAAATCTGTTTTTTTAAGTGGCAAAGACATTGACCTGTCTTACTGAACTAGAGTAAAGTTTAGTCCTAGAAAATGTTTAAGTCTCAGCTTTACCTCTTTTATTGGCCACGTAACCACAGGGACTGTGCCTCCATCTTCTCCTCTGTGAAGTTAAGATAGAAACCATACCACCTTGATAGATCTCCTTGTTGTGGTGAGGATCAAAGCCAGAAAATATGGGAGAAGTGCTTAGTGAACTGTGAAATCCCAGAACAGATGGGAGAGGGATGTTGCTATTATTTGAGGTAAATCTTCTTAGGTCTTTCATTTCTCTACACTCAGCACTGGTTTCCTACTAGAGAGTGTGAACAGAAATTAATGAACACCTTTCCCTGCCCTTCCTGTCCCCCAGCAGTCAGTTAATTTGCTAAGACAGCTAGGTGCTGTCCACTTCACCCACATCTGCCACCGATTCCTATGACAGTCACTTGACTTTGCTGGGCTCAGCTGGCTCACCTGTAAAATGGTATATTACCCTTTGATATTTGCTAAGAAGGCATGTGGACCAGTGGATCTTGGATCTTAGATCTCCTATAGATTCATGGGTCTTATCCTCCCAAATCGTAATTTGGTAGGTCTGGAATTGGACTAGAAGATGTGATGTCCTTTCTATCTCTAAGATTCTAAAATTCTAAGAACGGGAAATTAAAATAAGAATTCAGTAAAAAAAAAAAAACTGTCTTCAGAAAGTAAAATAATCAGATACCACTTAATATTCACATCTGTTTTGTCAACAGCATCTTTTTGGAGGTCTCAGGCTATGCAAGCCTTTTTTTTTTTTTTTAATTTGTATACTTCTGAAGTTCTTGAGGCAACTTATAGTAAAAACTCATTCGTTAAAAAGGCTTAAAGGCTGGGAGGAAATCACAGGAGCCGAGGAATGAAGGGAGAAGAGGGGATCGTTGTAGCAGTTGAACTCCAGTTTAACTCGGAGGTTCCTGGCAGCTAAAGCAAAAAAGTCAAAACGTCATGCAAAGTCTTCAAATAAACACCACACGGCTGAATGTCCCAAACACGAGTCAGCGGGTTGGTGCCAGACTGGTTCAACGGGCCACCTGGTTGACTTAGAAACACACAAACAAAGGGACAACGTGATAAGTATTCTGTAAAGTTAAATTTTTAAAATGATTTATATAGCTATAATTATAAATATAATAAGTACATAAATATAAATAAGTATAATAAAGTAATTATATATTTGCATAAAATGATCCGAGAGTTCGTTTTGTAGTTTTTAATGTTTAACTGGCTTTTCCTTAGTAAAATGATGGTCATAAAATGCCTTTATTTGCCAAAGTTAAAAAGTTGTTTTCTCCTCAAAAAAATCCAATAATGTTTAGTCTATGAGATCCAAAAATCTAGCAGACACAATTGTAAGGGTTTCCAGAGATGAGTAAGGTCCAGTTCCCGTCCCTCCAAAAGGTTACAGTGTTTGAAGAATAGGAGACAAATAGCTAAAGCTGTCAGATCTAGCAGATATCCTAAATATTTGTCCCAAATGGGACATACTTAGGGGCCGGCCCGGTGGCGAAAGTGGTTAAGTGCGCACGCTCCACTGCGGTGGCCCAGGGTTCGGATCCCGGGTGTGCACGGACGCACCGCTTGTTAAGCCATGCTGTGGCGGCGTCCCATATAAAGTGGAGGAAGATGGGCATGGATGTTAGGCCAGGGCCAGTCTTCCTCAGCAAAAAGAGGAGGGTGGGCAGATGTTAGCTCAGGGTTGATCTTCCTCACAAAAAAAAAGGGGTGGGACATACTTATACTCAAAAAGTATTTGTTGATTATCTGAAATTCAAATTTAACCGGGTGTCTTATATGTTATCTGACAACCGTAGAAACAGTCCACTTCTATTATCGGCGGCTCAGGGCTTAGATGAGCGCAAACAAATGTACACTGATAGATAGATGATTCACAGATGTATTGATATGTCGGATTTTAAAGCTAGAAGGGACTTGAGAGCCTCTCTGGATTCATAGGTGAGGAAATAAAGGCCAGATCAGCTGCTAGTCCATTTGCGTGTTGTAAAAAC